CCTTTCTTTCCTTCTCCTGTCCTGTCCTATCCTGTCCTGTTCTCCCCTCCCCTCCCCTCCCCTCCTCTCTCCTCCCCTCCCCTTCCCTTCCCTTCCCTTCTTCTCTCTCTTTCTTTCTTTTCTTTTCTCTCCCTGTCTTTCTTTCTTTCTCTTTCTCTCTCTCTTTGAGACAGAGTCTTGCTTTGCAGCTCCAGCTAGCTTCAAACTCACTGTGTAACCCAGGCTGGCCTTGAACTCATGATGGTCCTCCTGCCTCAGCCTCCTGAATGGTGAATGTGTGTGCACCACCATGCCTGGGAAGAATGTTTTTTTCTTCCCTTCTTCTGCTTCTTTTTTGTGTGTGTGTGTGTGTGTGCGTGGTGTGTTTTGAGACAGGGTCTCACTATGTAGTTCCTCAGTGATCCCCTATCTCAGCCTCCTGGGTGCTAGGATACCAGGCATGCGCCCCCAGGCCCCAGGTAGGAGCCTTTCCCTCCTCTCCTCTCCTTTTCATCTCCCCCAAAGTGTTGCTCGGCCTGGCCCAGGGCTGTTGGCAGCTCTCCCTCCCTGTCTGTGCTGTGAGGTGTAGGGTTTTGCACTCCCTTTAGCATAGTGGTTCTCAATGTGCTGCTTTAGGCATGGCAGAAAGTTGTTAGAAATGCACAGTGTGGACCATGCTGGACTAGAGACCGTGCTGGATTAGAGACTGTGCAGTCTGTGTTCTAAGCAGCCTACAGGTGATCTCCTGAAGACTGGGGAGAAGCTGGTTGTCACCATGGGCTACTTCTTTCACTAGCCCCACCCCATGTAAATTGCAGGATCTGCATTGCCTAGCGCTTTGGGGCAGTATTGCGCTAAATCCCCACAGCAGCATGGTGACTACCTTGCTCTTGTACATGTAGAGCTGAGTGCAGAGCTTAAGGCCCCTGTGCAGGAGCAGAGCAGGCCCTCAGCCTGGCAGTCATCCCAGTGCATTTCATTTTCATTCTGTTTGAGGGTGTGCAGCACATGCCTTCACAACCTGCAAGTCAGGTAGCTAGAACCACTTATGGTTGTATAAGATAGAGGAAAGACTATGCATGTTTTTAACTCCCAAAAGAAAAAAATATTTTTTTTCTAGTATGGGGATTGAGTCAAGGGCCTTCCCCACTGAGCTGTATACTTAGCCCCCCGCCCTTTTTAATCAGATTTTATTGGTACATTTTAATATACATGCTGATCACATTCATCATAGAGGGTTTGTACCTGTACATGATATAACCTTTTTCCCCATTACTTAGCCCTTTTTTAAAAAAGTGTTTCATTTTGAGATAGGGTCTCACGAAATTGCTAAGTTGCCCAGGCTGGGCTTGAATTTACAGTCCTGCCTCAGTCCCCCAGATTGCTGAGAGTATAGACATACACACCATGCCTCACTTAAAAGCAAAATAATTTAAAAGAATGACGATTTCATACATAACATGTACATAACTATACAAGGATATTCAGCAGTAACTCAATAAAGTAGTTTGTGTAAAGTTTCAAGTAGATAGTAGTTTCTAAAGCAGAGGGCTTTATATAATATGCTTAGGGGTTGAAGAGGCCTAGATTTCCTGTGCACCCGGGCAAGTGACTCACCCTCTGTGACCCTCGGAGTCCACTGAAATGGAGATAAGGATGCTGCAGCACCAGAGGTCTGGAGATGGACTCAGTTACAAGTAGAGCCCGGCACAAAGCACATCTTCAGTGACAAATGTTGGGTCTGTTGCTCTTAGAATCCTGATGGGTCAGAAGAAAAAGTCTGGAACGATTTGAGGAACTTCTTCATGACCTTATGGTTTTAAGTGAAATGGGGTAATGACAGAAGGGGTTAGGACTGCCAAGTGCAGAGGCATACCCCTATAAGCCCAGCTATTTGGGAAGCTGAGGCAGGAGGATCACAAGTTTGAGGTGAGCCCAGGGAATTTAGCAAGAACTTGTCTTGCTGGGCATGGTGGCACATACCTGTAATCCCAGCACTCGGGAGGCTGAGGCAGGAGGATCCTTGCGTGTTCAAGTCCAGCTGGGCTACAAAGTGAGCTCAAGGCCAGCCTGAACTGCATAGTGAGACCCTGTCTCAAAAAGACAAAAAAAAAGACCTTGTCTCAAAATAAAATTGAAAAAGGGCTGGGGATATAGCTCAGTGGTAGAGCATTTGCTTAGGATGTGTGAAGCCCTGGGTTCAATCTCCAGCACTGACAAAAAAAGGGGGTTTAGGTCTTTGTACAGGGTGTTTTGTTTATGTTAGAGTTTATTTTATTTTATTTTTTAACTGGGAATTGAACTCACGACCTCACACTTGCCAGGCAGGCGCTGTGCTGCTGAGCTATATCCCTGGCCCTATGTTAGAGTTTAAGATGAGCTCTATCTCACCCTTCTATTTTCTTTCTCTGAGCCAGACTGATTTCCGATTCTACTGGATGCATTCAAAGTTACCAGAAGAAGAAGGACTGGGAGAGAAAACCAAGCTTAATCCTGTAAGGCCAGGTGTTTGGATCACAGAGTGCTTTATAGGGATTGATTTGGACTGGTCTGTTACCTACATAGAATCACTGTGAATCTTTTTTGAGGCAGCATGGTGTAATGGGAACAGTATGGGCTTAACAGCTGGATCCTGCTGGATCCTAAGAAAAAAATCTGGAACAATTTGAATTCCATGTGTGGCTTTAACCACTTGCTAGTTCAATTATTTAAATATAGGATGACCAAAAAATTGCCCCCTTTTTGGTTAATTTTTATAAGATAATATAACAGGAAATATAAAAATCACAATTTTATCAAATTTATTCAATACAAGAATTGAGTGAAATGATACTTGTCTCATCAAGGCTCAGGATAGTAAACAAATGTGCTGCCTGAGTGATGCTCAGGGTATACTGTTAAGTGGGCAATTCTCCTGCCTCAGTCTCCCAGGTGCTGGGATTATAGACATGTGCCACCACATCTGGCTACAAAATTTTTTTAAAAAAATTAATTAATTAATTTTTGTCTTTTTGAGACAGGGTCTCGCTATGCAGTTCAGGCTGGCCTTGAGCTCACTTTGTAGCCCAGGCTGGTCTCGAACTCGCAATGAGTCTCCTGCCTGAACTCACAGTGATTTTCCTGCCTACACCTCCCGAGTGCTGGAATTACAGATGTGCACCACCACGCCTGGCCTTTGGCTGTTTTTAGTTTTGTTTTGTAGTTTGCTTTTCTGTGTGATGCTTTAGAGCAATAACGGTTTGCTCATACCGAGGAAACACCCTCTGAGCCACATCTCTAGTCCCACATCAGGAATTCTTAAAAACTCCCAGATGATTCTCCTACCCCTGGACGATCCCTGTGTGTAAAGGAAGATGGTGAACCAGTCAGTCAAAGGACAGGGGGATGGGAGCGGGGAGGGGAGGATGAGACTGAAAATGCGAGTAGAGGTTTAGTCGCTAGCACCGGTACCATATGTAACACATACTAACTCCTTGTTCTCCTTTACATTCCAGTTTAGATTTGTGGGGCTGAAGAATTTCCCTTGTACCCCTGAGAGCCTGTGTAAGGTGCTGGCTATGGATTTCCCTTTTGAGGTAATGGACTGACGTCTCTTGCTGCGATGTGACCAGAGGGTACAGGGAAGCTCAGTTACTTCGCTGTGTCAGAGCAGGAGTGGAGGCTGACTCAGTGGAAGGAATGTGCCTGCACCCTCCAGCCTGCAGCTGAGTCAGGCGCCAGAGCCCTGGGAGGGAAACTGAGGCCCAGAGGGGCAAGGGCCTCTATGCCTGGGACCTTCTTTTATGCCTTCCTGCCACAAGCAGGAGAACAGCCTCCCCTTATTGGCCACCATGCTGATTACGAAATGGGCATCTGTGGCTGCCCCAAATGTTTGGACCCCAATCTTCTCCTGGCCAAAGCGCAGGTCCCCAGGATGCAATTCTTACTGAACAGCAGTTTGCCCAGACTTGTCCCATTGTAGCACCAGCAGCATCTTGTCCCCAGAAGGCTTCAGGCCTGGGCAGTCTTCGATCATCCTCAGAACCTGCAGTGACCCTCAGTAAGCAGATTCCTTGCCCAGCACCCCCTTACAGTTCTGCCTAGTCACCCGCACAGAATTGCTTGCATGGATCTAATTTTATAAAGGATACAGCTTCCTGGATGCGGAAATGGCAAAGGCTGAGTTGCCTTCATTTCTGGGAGTCAATTAGGAAGGTGGTGAGAACGCTGTCTTTATTTATAACCCTTATACCCCAGTGGCAAGAAATGCTTTTTAGAGATGAGTCACTGAATCACAGAAAAGACAATGTGGGGCTGTAGGAGGTCTTCCCGTTGAGAAAAGCTGAATTTCCCAGAATGTGGCTCACATACACTTTAGGGGGAGGCGTAGGCAGCCAGCAGTGGCAGGGATCTGGCAGCCTGTGTGCACTGCTTGCAGCCTAGTACCTTGGAGGTCCTGTCCCTTTTGTGCAGGAGGCTCAGCCAGTGCACCAGACTTGCGGGTGGTGGACAGCAGCTGGCATTTGGGGATAGGAGAGCTGGACTCCAGCTGGGCTTCTGCTTCATACTCACTGTATTTTTAGGGACCCCCAAGACCCTCTGAGTCTGGGTAGTCCCCTTCTTAAGACCTTACTGGTGGGTCAAGGGTGAGACAATGGAGGGGAAAGCTACCTTTGCTTTCCTTTTTTCCTACTTTCTTTCAATTTATTTATTTATTTTTTGTGGGGGGGCAGGGTTTTGCTACATAGTTTAGGCTGGCCTCAAACTTATGGCAATCCTCCTGCCTCAGCCTCCCAAGTGCTGGAACTACAGGCATGTGCCGCCATACCCAGCAAGGAAAGCACCCTCTAAATTGGAGGTGCTATTGGGTTTTTATTTTCTAAAAGTTAGTTTTCTAGGCCATTTCTTCATTTAGAGAAGTTGTACACATGGGAAGCAAAGACTCCTAAGAAAAGGACTGGGGTCATGAGATCTCCTCTGTATGATCCAAGCAGCTCTGATGACCTCATTTCCTTCTTGCAGGTAGATGGACTCCTCTTCTACCACAAGCAGACTCACTACAGCCCCGGAAGCACACCCTTGGTGGGCTGGCTGCGCCCCTACATGGTATCAGACATCCTGGGTCTGGCTGTGCCCACAGGCCCACTGACCACCAAGCCAGAGTATGCGGGGCACCAGCTGCAGCAGATCATCGAGCACAAGAGAAGCCAGAAGAATGAAAGGGAGAAGCTCACACTTGAGCAGCGCGAAAGTGGGCGCTATGAGCTGGAGCACCTGTCCACCCCTATGCCTCAGCCTCCTCCCCAAGACCCAGGCCAGCCTGGGGGCTGCATGGAGACCTAGAGAGAGCAACCTCCTTAGGAGCTGGGGACAGGTCCAGAGGGGCACTAGGGAGAACAGTGACCTCAACAATTACTTGGTTTTATTCCAGTAGAAACTGCTTCTCTCCTATCTAAAAGGCTGACTCAGGCACCTGGAGAGGTGGCATTCACGTGGAATTGAACAGCTGTTACTGCGATAAGTGTATCTCAGATCTGCAATGTAAATATGTGTAATTCTTAGAAAGAAGTTGGTAGCCAAGCGTTGGTGGCATACACTTTGGAATCCCAGCACTTGGGAGTCTGAGGCAGGAAGATCACCACGAGTTCAAGGCCAGCCTGGATTATACAGTGAAACCCCGTCCCAAAAAAACAAAAAAGAAAACAAAGAAATAAAAAAGAAAAAAACAACAACAACAGAAATTGTTTGTAATCCTTAGGGTGCAGATGTGCCCCCACCCCGGAGGCCTAAACCCTGGCAGTCCAGTCTTGGCCCATTTCACCCTGTTAGCACCCAGACATTTTGCTGTGTTGCCAGCTGCTTCTGTGGGCAGCGTGATGTTTCTGAAAGGTCTTACCAGGAACTTCAGTTCTTGGTATTTGAGTGTTACCAGTTCTCAGTATTCGAGTGTGATTTTCTTTGGTTTAGACATGGCCAGAGGTAAAATGCTGCTGGGACTCATCCACTCCTTCCGCAGCAGATAAACCTCAAGTGAGGCCTCTGAAATGTGAAGGGGGTTTTGAAGGTGGACAGGACTCAGTCCTTGGGAGGGGCATGGTCCAGTGAGAAATGCACACAGCAGAGGTGTGTGTGTGTGTTTGTGTGTGGTGTCACGGTGGGAAATGGGTGCCCAGTGCAGAAGGGTGCAGAGAGCATGGCACCGGGACTCAAGGAGGCAGAGGGAGCTCGTGAGAGGGGAGCAAGCTGAGGCTCTGTGGAGGGACCAGGGTCCCAGGTAGAGGGACCAGGAGGGGCAGAGGGGCACAGACAGGCACTGCAGCTGCCCCTCCCGAGCAGGACAGACCTGGTCCCTGGGTTCTGAAGCAGGCTCAGCACAGCCTGGGTAAGGGGGCTGGGAAGAGACAGGAGGCCTGGGATTTTATGTCACAGGGGAAAGAGAAGTGAGGAAGGCACTCTCAGACTGAGCTAGAGCTCTTAGTTGTGCAAGATGGTGTCTACAATTAACCAGTGAGTCTGTACTATGTGTTCAGGAAGTATGTCCTAGTTCCTATGGCCTCTGCTTTCTAGTACTTCTTTAACCAGACAAAAGGGCACACAGCAGGAACAGTGTTTCAGAGGGCTCTGGTCAGCTCTTGTGTGACGTGCAACATCCCTTTGAATCGATTCTCTCCGAGGACATATCCAGGCAGGCAGAGCCCGATTACACACATTCAGCACATCGCGAGGAACACGCCTTGGAGACTGCGCTGACTCTGTAAAACTGGAGAAGGAAGAACCCTCATCACCCTCACACAGTGAAAATCCTCTATCCTGCTGGCTGCAGATTCAAGCATTCATCTCCATCAATAAGCCCCTTCCTGAATGTAGGTCAATTTTGCAATAGGGACTCTGTGTTCCTCTGCCAAGGAGATGTCGTAGGCAGCCTAGATGTTTGGTCCCTGAGGTCTTCTAAGTGTTCTGTTCTGGGTCATCAGCTTTATCAATCCAGGGGCCACTTGTGCCCTTGTCAATAGTAGCTTGGGCAGGCTGTTCTCAGAGTGAAGTAGCCTGGAAAGGATGCTGCCCCAAAACCCCCTCTGTAGACAGATGCGTGCATGCATAAGACCCAGAACTTCTCAGCCAGATGTGCCCAGGAGAGCCACTTGATGCTGTGGACCAGCAGTGGAAGGGCTTCCCTCAGACCAGCACTAGTGATGTTTTTAACTGAGCAGCTGGTTTTAGTGACCTGGATAGCAGTGTGTCTCCTGGTCCAATTTCTTAGCGACTGCAAAACACCTCTTGCCACCTGTTTCAAAGATGGCTGGGTTATAGGTAGCTGTGATTGAACAGCAGTTTTTTGGCTACCCTTCTGAACAAACAAACCAAAAATCAAGCCTGGAATCTAGTTCAGTTAAGGGAGTAATCAAGGAAGATCTCACTGGGGAAGTGACTTTTAAGCTGAGACCTTAAGAATAAGTCAGATTTGTCTGGTAAAGAAGGTGGGGGTGGGGTGGAGAGGATAGGATTACTAGATAGAGACCTGAAATTTATGCTTAAAAGCAAAAAACAAAAAAATCCAGCCAGGTCATGGTGGTGCAGGCCTGTAAATCCCAGCACTCTGGGAGTCTGAAGCAGTAGGATCACAAATTTGAGGCCAACCTGGGCAATTTAGTGAGACCCTATCTCAATAAAAGGGGGTCAGGATGTATCTCCATGGCATGAGGCTAGCATGTTCAAGGTCTTGGATTTAATCTCCACTACTGAAAAGAAAGAAAAAAACTTAAAAAGCAAAAATCCAAGCCAGGTGTTGTGGCACACAACTGCAATCCCAGCATTTGGGAGGCTGAGGCAGGAGAATCACAAGTTTGAGGCAAGCCTGGACTACATAATGAATTTAAGGCAAACCTGAACTACATAGCAAGATCCTATCTCAAAAAGAAAAAAGGAAAAAAAAAAGCACAAAGATAAAAATACAAACCATAGTACCCCTCTCCCAAGATTCTCTCTATTTTTCACTGTCAAATTTCAGCCATGAAGCAAAGCCAAGCATTCAACACCAAAAGGAAGGCAGATCAGAGCATGCAGAGCTGTCTATCCCATGTGTTCCCATATGAGAAGAGGATCACCAGCCACCTACCTCATTCTGTTCTGGTGAGGTTAGATGAGCAGAAGTTATTTAGAACAACAGCATGCTTGGCGTGGTGGTGCACACCTGTAATCCCAGCACTCAGGAGGCTGAGGCAGGAGGATTGTTGTGAGTT